GTGCACCCATTCACCATTCTGAGCCAACTCTCTCCAGGCATGGCCTGCCTCATCCTTACTCATCCCTGAGGACTTCATTGAAAGGTCACCTCCTCTAGGTTGCCTTTCATGATACCTACCTGAAAGCCAGGTTAAATGCCCCTCCTCCTCCTTCCCCAGCACCTGTGTCACTGCGCTGCAAATGCTGGCTTTTGCCCCTCCCAGTAGACCGCGCTCCTCATGGACATGGACGAGGATGATACACTCTGTGTTTCCACTGCCCAGCCTGGAGCCTGGTTCAGAACAAGGGCTTCATAAATGCCTACTGGCATGAAGTTCCACAGTGAATGTCAGAATGGGAAGGGGACTTGGTGACTGTAGCTGCTCCTATGCAATGTTCTTTGAAGTCCAAAAAGCCCTTCCACACGGATTATCTCGCTTACTCCTCCATGGTTGATATTATCCCCAAAGTTTAAGAAACTCAGGTTCAGATAAGTGACTTTTCCAAGTTCACCCAGCCAGGACGTGGAGCTAGGGTTTGACCTCAGGTCTCTCTGACTCCAAGGCTAGAGCTTCATCCATCACTTCCCCACTCATCTGATTCAAGCAATACGCACATTTTAGCGAAGAGGACACAGAGGCCAGGAGAGGTAAATTTCTTGCCCAGGGTCATGCTGTGCTAAGCCCATGCTCTTTCCTCTAGTCAAACAGGAAGTGCCCAGGAAGGTGACAAGGTGAGGATGGGGTCCTGCGTAGGGAGGGGTGTGCCGCCTGTGTCCCATGCCCCCTTCCCATTTGTCACAACCTGAATGTTTAAATTTTGTATTTAGTATTTACTCTGAAAATGGCTTTCATCTGATTTCCCCTCTTGCTCACCAATTTAGCTGTCAGAGTAAATAAATGTGAAGCCGGGTCTCCAGCCTCCCCCAGCTCACATTACCTTCCTAGAATTACTCCCCGGCAGGGCGGAACCGCTGCTGGGGGTGATCCCACAGAATTACCCAGTTACTAATGAAGCCCCTTTTCAAACCCAAACCGAGGACCTAGACTCAGGTGGAGGAGGGTAGCAAAATCCACCTCATCCTGTTTGGGGACGAGGAGGATTGAGGTGAGAATTGGGTGACATGGCACACAGGATGCTGATGACATTGCCTATGTAGACTCCTTATAACAGTGTACAATAGTAGGTGCTTACACAGAAATAGAGGCAACACTTCAAAGATATTAGTTTCTAATAGATGGTTCATTGTCACCACACTCCAGAGAGGTACATCCCCATTTTGCAAGTTGTTATTCCCATTTTGCAAGTAAGGGAACTGAAGCTCCGAGAAGCAAAAGGACTTGTCCAGTCTCCTGTAGGGAGAAATCAAATATGCTGATGGGATGTCTCACATGTGCTAATCCTGATTTTGCCAAGGTCACTCCTGTATGGACTCTTTTTCCTGCTGGAGCCTGGCATTGCTGGAAGAGAGTTTTCTCTTCCAAAGTAATTTCATTTTTATCTTCTTTGAAGTCAGGCAAGCCCTGGGTTGCAATAACGGTCTGCAGCTTCCTCAGGCAAGTTATTTGGGATAATATTTGATTATTTGGTTGATTTATGCCTTGCCTTCCTCCATAAAATATGTGAAGTGGCATCTAGGAGCGTAGCAACTGGACAATGCAGCTAGTCCATACTGTGATGAGAGCTAATATTTATTTGTTGCTTTCAGCATGCCAGGGATGATTCTGAGCCTTCTTTTTTTCTTTTTTTTTTTTACATGTAGCATTTGCTTCATTTTCACAAACATAAGAAGTGAACTCTGTTATCATTCCCCACTTTACAGATGAGAAAACTGAGACTGAAGAATGGCTGAATCACTTGTCCAAGGTTACCCTGGTACTAAAGGGCTGTGCCAAGATGGGCACCATGGCAGTCTGGCTCCACAGTCCTTGTGCTTCACTGCTGAGTTCAATGCCTCTTATTCCAGTTTTGGTTTTCTGCGCATCTAATCAGAATTCAGGAGCAAAATTGAATAGTAAGTAAGCATTTGGGTTCTGGAGTCTGAGTACTAGAGCTTGAAATGAAGCTCCTATAAGCTTGTTTTCTCAACTATAAAATAGGTATAATAATACCGGTATGACATTCTTCGGGGTTCCCAAAAGAGAAATGCAGGTAAAACGGTACTTGGCACATAAATGCTCAACAGTACAACCAGCATGGCTCAGAGCTTAAGCATAGACCTATGAACCAGGAGATCACCATTTGATTCCGGGTCAGGGCACAGGCCTGGGTTTCGGGCTCTATCCCCAGTGTGGGGCATGCAGGAGGCAGCCGGTCAATGATTCTCTCTCATCGTTGATGTTTCTATCTCTTTCTTCCTCTCCCTTCCTCTCTGAAGTCAATTAAAATATATTTTAAAATAAATAAACAAATGATTGACAAACAGTGGTTATTATCATTACCATTCAGAGGGTGTGTGCTTCACATTCCTTCTCATAGTGCCACAGCTTGTTTGTCCATCCCCGGGATCTTCGCAGTCATCTCTCCTTTCATACTTCCTTTTCTCCCCCGAATCCACCCAAAGCTCATCTGCCTCTAGTTTTAGATCAAGCCTCTTCCACACCTGTTGCCTGAGGAGTTTTGCAAAGCCAGTACATTCCACACCTGTTGCCTAAGGAGTTTTGCAAAGCCAGTACCATCCTCCTGGTCTTCTTTTCTGGAGTCTTTCCGCACTCACACATCTGGCAGATGTGCAGCTCTGCATAATGTTCAATGACCTCCCGCTTTTCCCAGCCACCAGAAAGGGAGGAAGAGAAGGAGATAAAGGTCATCCTATCATTACTCTCATTTTGCAGATGAGAAAAGAAGCTTAGCCCATGAGTGGTGAGGCCAGGAATCATATCCAGGTCTTCTGACAAATGTGTGTGTGTGTGTGTGTGTTTAATGTGATTGTGCACACCTGAGTGTGTGTATGCAGAGAGTGGACACGGTCATGTACACAGCCTGGAATTCTAGTATAAGCTCTGATGTCAGACGAATCTGCTGTTGAGTTCTTAGCTCTGGCCATTAGCCATGTGACACCATTTTGGACCTATCAGGTGCTCTCTCTGAGCCTCAGTTTCATCATCAGTAAAATCAGTGCAATAACATACACTACCTCATAACTTTATGGTTAAAAGAAAATGAAGCTATGATTATAAAATGCCAAGCCTGTCACAGATTAAAGTGTCCAGGAGCAGCAACTGGACTTATTATGTGCAAAAGAGATTATTTGAGGGGGCTAGGCTGTGTGATCTTTTGAATGTTTGAAGGTGCATGCATATGTGTGTGCACACATGTGTAAATAATGCACATGCCTCACCAGCTTTCACATTGCAATTGTGCTCTTCTTGTAAAAGATTGAGGTTTAGAGAGAAACTTTTCCCTCTGAATTCCTGTCTGAGAGCAATCCTGGTAAATGCCTGAATGCAGGGGTACAGAGGGTGGGAGATGCCATTGGCTGGGGTTGGGGCTGTTTCTGTGCACCTTCGTAACAGGAAAGGAACAGATATGTGTACTTTTCGAAGATGTTGCTGTGCAAACACCCTTGTCTGCCCTTGTCCATTAGGAAGTGCCTGTGTGTGCACATCTGTGGGTGTCTGAGGAGAGGACAGGAGGTTTGCCATGTGTTTGAAGCACTGTGGGAGTCTGTGGTCTCTTGAGTATGAATGTGTGTACACGTGTAAGAACACTTGTGTGGGTGTTTACATTTGTAACTAAGGGTAACTAAGGAGGCAATGGCATGAGAAAGGACACCTCACCTCCATAGGGCGGGTCTGAGTGCTCACATTTGTTTTCAGAAGAGTCTGTATATTTACATGTGTCTCTCTAGGGTCAGTTTGTGTGTGGAGAAGGGGGCTGAGGCTGTGAGTTCACGTGTGTGTGTGTGTGTGTGTGTGTGTGTGTGTGTTGTAGGGTGTTAGTTGTCCAAGGCTCTGTCTTTGAGAGTTTGTGTCTGTGTGTCCTATCCAAATGCCAGGGGCCTCCCTGCCTTTCCCTCCTCTACCAGCAGATCCGTAGAGAAGGGGAGTGGGGAAATTGGGCTGGATGGCTCAGCACATCCCAGAGGGAAGGGAAGGGAAGGAAAGGAAAGGGAGATGTCCCAAGCAATCCCTCCCAGGAGAATTCAGGGGAACACCTCCCTTCCAAGAAGCTTTTCCCCAGCCAAATCCCATTCAGTAGTTCAGAGCCAGAGCACTCTCTGGTTGTAACGGAGCAGAGTTATCCATGCAGGTGTGTGAGGGCAGCGGATACCTGAACTGTAACTAAGGTGAAGGGCAATCTTTTGCCTCAGCATGGACGCAGAGGGACCAGGCGTGGGTCTGCACCAACAGGGCATCGCGTGTGAGTTCATACGGTGTGTACCTGGGAGTGCGGCTGTGCCTAGCGCTGGGGTGCCCCGGGAGGGAGGGGACGTGTGGGAGCTGGGTGGCTGTGGGCCTGCCAGTGCCTTTGTATGTCCGCGTGTTTCAGACTCTGTGTGTCTATATGACTGTATGTGTGTGTCTCTGGGTCGCTGCCTCGCTGTGTGTGTCTCCCTCTCCCTTGGCGGGGAGGGGATTGGTCACGCATGACTCATCTTGAACCGAGCGGGGCTCCAGAGGCAGGGCGGCCGACGCCACAGCTGGAGGGGGTGGAGGAGGGAGTGGAGGAGGAGGAGGAGGACTACCGGGAGGGGGAGAAAGAAAAGGAAGAGGAGGAGGAGGTGGAGGAGGAGGAGGAGGAGGAGAAGGAGGAGGAGGAGGAGGAAGAGGAGGAGGAGGAGGAGGAGGAGGAGGAGGAGGAGGAGGCGGGGGCCTCTCTAAGTTTGTCGGGACCTTCTTCCGAGGCAGCGGCGGCAGCCTAGGAGGCCCGGGCTGCGCGCGGGCCGGGGCGGGGGCCGGGGCTGGGCCGGGCGCAGCGGAGCGGGCGCCTCCGCTCTCCTCCTGCTGCTGCCGCAGCCGCTGCTCCCGCCGCGGCCGTGGCCGTGGCCGTGGCCCCTCTCGGCGCGGCTGCCCGGCCCATGTACTGGAAGCATGAGAGCGCCGCCCCGGCGCTGCCCGAGGGCTGCCGGCTGCCGGCCGAGGGCGGCCCCGCCGCCGACCAGGTGAGCCCGCCGGCGGGGGCTGAGCGCCGGGCCGGGGCGGGCGGGGGCCGGGCCCAGCGGGGCGCCCCGGGCGGGCGGCCGGTGCGGAGGGGCGCGGGGAGTGTGTGTCTGTGAGTGCGGGAGCGCACGCGAGCGCGGGGTGGGTGTCGCGGAAAGCGGGAACACGTTCTTCAGTTCTTCAAATGTTGGAGGAATTTCTCAAAAAGCGATTTAGCAAAGACACGGGAGAATCAGAGGAGGCGAAGCGGGCATTGTCCCTCTGGATGGGCGCCGGGGCTGGTGCGGGTGACGCCGCGGATCCCGCCGCGGGGCCGTCCCGGGCGCGCAGCGGGGCTGGAGAGCGTCTTCTCCTCCTCTCGTACGCCTCTGCGTCCTCCTTTTGGGTTCGTTTCACCCCCAATCTCGCCCCCATTTTGCTCCGGGTTTCCTTTCGAGGGACCCTCGAAAGGCACCTGAATCCGCGTCCACGTCGCCCTGTCGGTTTGGCCGCGCGCGGGGGGCGGGTGGGCTGACGCTCCCGCTTTTTATTTCCCTCAAACACTCCCCCTCCAATCTCCTTTTTTATTTTCTTTCTCTCTTTTCTCCTTTTTGCATTTGGTGTCGAGAGGAAGGAAAAGGGAGCAACGAAGGAGGGGGGGGGGTGGGTAGAGGGAGAAAAAATTCGATTTTTTAATTACTACCATTAAAAAATCAAATTTGCAATTCTTTGGGCGGCCTGATGGATCTCCCTGATTGACAGCTGGAATTGACACTCTGGCTACCTCTTATCTCGGGCATTCACGACAATTTCTAATTGCAGGTAGTTTGTGTATGTGCGCGTGGGTTGTTTTTTTTTTTTTTCCTATCCCCCCTCGGAGGCTTGGATTGCAAGGGAACGAAGCGATTACTTCAAGAGCCACGGGTTAAGTGCAGGGAGAGGGGGAGAGAGAGGGGAGAAAAAATCCAATCCAAATTCAAATTGCTTCATTAGAGAGACACCGCTTTTGTGGGGAAGGGCTTTAAATGCCCACTACAAAGTTAGGACGCATTGTTCCGCGCCGGTTTATATAACGGGCGCGGGGAGGCGCTGGGTCCGGGCGGAGCGGAGCCAGCTCTGCAGCCGCCGCCGCCGGCACCCCCTCTCCCCTCCCCCAGGTGACGGCCCAGCCCGGCTCCGGCTGCAAAGCGACCGCCCGCGGCCTGGAAGGGACCGCGCCGCCCGCCATGGTGAGTGAGGGCGGCCCTGTCTTCGGGCCACGGTCCCGTCTTAGGGACCTGGCCTGGCTTTCCGGCCCCAAACCGCGCTGCTCTTGCGCTGGGGAGGAGGGGAGGGACCCCTGAGGGCGCCGCCCCTCTCGGAGCCTCAGTTTCCCCACCGAGAATGTGGGCTTCGGCCGCTCCCGATCCCCAGGACACGCGCGTTCCTTAGCGGAGCCCATCCCGTCCTCTCTAATAGGCGCTTCCATCCCGGTTCTTTAGCCCGTGGCCCGGCGGCGTCTCGAGGGGGATTTCGTTGCTGTCCATGGGTGCCCTGGGGCCCCAATGTGTCTTGGAAGCAACTGCTGCGGCGCTGGGCTCCCGGCTCAGCGATCGGCTCTTCCTCTCTCTCCTCACCCCCCTCTCCGCAGGCTCAGTCGGATGCGGACACCCTGGCAGGCGCCCTGGACAAGGACGAGGGCCGGGCCTCCCCCTGCACACCCAGCACGCCGTCAGTCTGCTCGCCGCCCTCCGCCGCCTCCTCCGTGCCGTCCGCCGGCAAGAACATCTGCTCCAGCTGCGGCCTGGAGATCCTGGACCGGTATCTGCTCAAGGTGAGACCAGAGCGGCCTGTTTGAGGGTGGGCTGCTGGGGCGTGGGGTGCAGCCCAGAGGCTGCACTGTATGAGGAATACAGGCCCAGCCGCTGCGGGACCTTGGGGCTGTGAGGCTGTCTCAGTGTCTCTCTGTGTCCCCGGGGTCCCCGTCTGAAACAAAAAAACAAAAAACGGGAAGAGTTTGTTTCTACCTCCGGAGCCTCAGGGTTGCAGAAGGAAAGTGGGGGAGGTTATGGGCAAGTCAGAGCTCCGGTGGCACCTCTGCCTGCAGGGTAGCTGGGGTCTGGGCGCATAGAGGTCTGCACTGAGCGCCCCCAACCTGCTCCCTCCCCAGGTCAACAACCTCATCTGGCACGTGCGGTGCCTCGAGTGCTCCGTGTGCCGCACGTCGCTGAGACAGCAGAACAGCTGCTACATCAAGAACAAGGAGATCTTCTGCAAGATGGACTACTTCAGGTAGGCCGGGTCGCCGGGCCAGCAGTGCCTCCGCCGTGGGCAGGCCCCGCGCACACCGAAGCCTTCTTTGCGGCTCGCTCGAGGTGGCTGGCTCCGGAGCCCCCAGCCCGGAGTGCACACCCCGCTGGCTCTCAGCGCCACGAATTGGGAGCTCCAGGCTTCGCGCCTGTGCCAGCACCGGTCTGGCCCGAGATCCGCCTCCTGTCCCTGCGGCCCGCTCGGTTTCCGTCGCGTGTCCGGCTCTGTCTCCGGTCCTGCCTGAACCTCAGGCTCCAGTTTCCATCTCCAGCGCCGCCTCGGTTGAGTTCTGATGTCCCGGCTCTAGGTCCCGGCCTTGGTCTGGCTGCCTCTCCAGTGCGCTCCAGCCCGGGTTCCAGCCCTCCTCCGACTCCAGCCCCGCCGCATCGCTCCCAGCGCCGCCGGGACCCTGAGCTGGGCTCCAGAGAGCCCGTTTCTGACCTGGCTCGGCTCTGGGTTTGGGGCTGCTCCGGCCTCAAGCACTAGTTTAGTATGGGTCTCAGATCTAACCCATATTCAAGCACCTCTTCCTAAGACCAACCTCGGTCTCCAGTTTCGCCTTAACTTAGACCTTGGCGTAGCTCTAATGTCTGGGGTCCTGAGTGGGTCCCAGGTGTCTATTCCAGTCCCAGCTTCCTTATCGTTTCAGCCTGTCCTGGGACTAGGCTGACTTTGGGCTGCCAGGACAGGATAGGGGGGTGTAAGGCGAGCAGCCCAGCGCGGAGTAGCATTACCCCGGGTGCACTCTCCCGGAGGCAGTGCCCAGTCCTGCCGGCTCCCCACTCCAGCGGAGCTCCCTCCTTCTGTCACGCCGCTGAGTCCTGGTTGCTGGCGCGCCTCGCTCCAAACCTAGAAGGTCCCGCCTGACCCGGCCATGGGGTCAAGTTCACTGCGAGGTCAGGGCGCACCGGCCACCCGCAGGATCTCTACCGGGAAGCTGAACCAGACCTGAGTCCTAAGAGGGTCCAGTGTGATTAGTTCCCGGGAGGGGATGTCTGGTCCCAGGGGCTTTCTTAGGAAATGGAGAAAACTACCCTCCTATAAACCCCACCTCCAGTGGCCTCCCTTCCATCCTCTCCTCGGGAAAGGCCATGGTTTCTGTCTTCTTGGGAGTCAGGGAATGTGGTGGAAGTCAATGCAACCCTCCACCCCTTCCCTTTGAGTCTTCTGGGTCTTGGAAAGAGAGGACCTTCCTTGAATCTAGGGGGAAGTTTGCAGCATTTTGGACTGAGATACTCTGGGGAAATCATAGGAAGCATGGTCCAAGAACTGGACTCTTTTTTTTTTTTTTTTTTTTTTTTTTAGTATGGGTATGAAAGGACGTACAGCCGGGTGTTCAGGTGTGTGGTGTCTCTGCAAGGTGGCCTAGGACTCAGAACTGTATGTGTGTGTGTGTGTGTGTGTGTGTGTTGTTTGGATCTGTGTCATGACACTGAGGGAATGTGGCATTAAGCAAGGTCAGGGATGTGTGGACAGCATCTGTGTTCCTTTATGACATGCGTTTGTCTTCTGGTTCACATGTAAGCGTGTGTGTCTGTGTGTGAATGCCAATGCACAAGAAGGTCAGGACAAGGTTACATACGGACAGGGAGCTGGAGGTGAGAGGGTGAGGCTTCAGAAAGCCTGTGATTCCTCACCCTACCCCCTCCTCCTTTGCGGGGGCATTTCTACTTAAGGCCTTAGCCCAGGCACTGAGGACACAAGGGATGTGACTGTGGATTTGTGTGTGTGTGTGTGTGTGTGTGTGTGTGTGTGTGGCAGAGCAAGGTTATTGTGTGGTATACAACCAGAGGGTGATATCTCCCTGCACTATCCCATCTGCTATAGGCTGGCCAAGGCAGGAGTCCCCATCTAGCTACCTCCTTGTTCTAGGCCTGACCCCAGTCCAGCTTCCATTTGGGGGGCTCCTTGGGGACAGAGCTCCCGCTTGGGAAATCCAACAGGATGATATCTCAGCCCTCTTCTGTAGAGCAAGGCAGGACTGGACCCTAATCCTGGCTCTCCTGGTGATAACCCACCTGGCAGCCCTTTGAGCCACCTGCCCACATTTCCTTGCTGCTTCTCCAGCCCCATCTCATGCCCAGGCTGGACCAACCTCTTCAAATGCTATGCTTACTAGACCTTCTAGGGCTGGTCAAAACCCAGAACCTGACCCCATGTTTCAGAACCTCCACTGGCTCTGGAATTCCCCTTCCCACTTTGGTGAGGTAGAGTATGGAATGTGCTGCTATTTTGAGGAGAGACAGAAGCTGAACCCCATCAGGACAGCATTGAATCACTGTGTGACCTTGGACAAATCACTGCATCTCTCTGCCCTCAGTGTCCTACTTCCAGGGTTGTCTCTGGGAGCTGCCAAAGAGGGAGTGAAAGGAGGAAGGCTCAGTAGAGGCTCCTTAAACGGCAAGTGATGTAGGTTTCTTGATTATTACCATTGTCACCCTGGCAGGGTGGATGCTGGGCAGTTTGAGGAGCCAGCTCTGCCTGGAGGGATGGGGCTGGGCCATTTATGGGCTGAAGGGTCTGAGCTGCAATCCTTTTCCAGTGACAAGAGTCCCTAAAGCAAAACTAAAACAGATTTTGGTTAAGAAAGTGGAGTGAATAAAAGCTCACAGTCTCTGAGAGGAGGAGAGAATTGTGGCTCTTCTGATCATTTCTCCCCCAGCCAGGTTTCCCCTCAGGCATAACCCTTCCCTGGCAGCCCCACCTGTAAGAGAAATAATGAAACCCACAAAAAAGGAAAGGAAGAGCCGGCAGAGTGCCAGGCAGGGACTATTGTCTGCTCTGAGCAGCAGCCCAGGCGCTGGGTGACTGTGTAAGAAAGGTTTTTCTGGAAAGAGCATGAGTGATGGCGCGGGAGGCAGATTACTCCTCTCAAGAGCTGCGGCTCAGGAAGAACCATGCTCTGAGATTCTCTAGCCCTCTGTTTCCTGCAGCCCAAGGTCACTGGAGCACTCTGCCCAAGATAGGTCAATATCTGCATCAGAATGGGGGAGAGAGGGCTCTGGGGTCTTATCCCCCACTGAAGGATCTTCTAGGTTCCATTCCCCATTTTGCCCCTCCTTATGGACAGTCTCCTTAAGCAGAACCGGAAGTTAGAAGTTAGAAAGCAACTCCAAAGTCACCAAGAGAAGCTGTGAGGAGGAGTAGGAGAGGGGGTAGAGAGGGAGGTTGAAGGTCTAGTGCTGTCCCTGGCTCATTTGCATTTTTGAAGGGATTGGCTTTCCACTGGCTGTTTGTCCTTGATAACAGGTTGCTGGACCCTCTGTCCCAGCTTCTCCAACTCCCTCTTTAACGGGGACCTCCCTGTGGGTTCTAGCAGATTTCCAGCTCCCCACCTCCCTGAGTCCTAGCAGAAAACAGTTACCACAGGGGAAATATGATATTGCTTTTAATTTCTCCAAATTTTTGTTGTTGTTAAGACCATTTTTCCCTTCCATTTTCTTTGAAGAAGTAAAGGAAGAAACAGTGTTCCTCTCTGGGGCATTGTATCAACCACAAGCTCAGGCAGCTTCCTCCTTGTAGCTGCTGCCCCTGCCGCCCCCCTTGGGTCATGGGCTGATCTACAGTGCTCTCCTGGCTCCCTCAGCCTCCTGAAGCATCATGCCCATTGTACAGTTGGAGAGAGTGATATCCTGAGAGAGTGGCAGGTGAAGAATCCAGGGTCACACAGTGAGACAGAGAGTGGAAAAGGATTGGGGATGGGGAAGGACACCGGCCATCAGAAGCCAGGAGCTCATCTCGTAGCCAGGAACTGTGCTAACTCTTTACATGCCTTATCCCATTGGATCCTCAGGTCCACCCTGTGATTATGATACTCTCATATTCCTCACATAATAGGAGGGGAAACTGAGGCCCTTCAAGGTGACATCGCAGTTAGTAAGTGGCAGACCTTTGATAAGACCCAAGGTTGCTTAACTCCACCATCTCTGTGTCTAAACATTCAATCCACTCCAAGCTTTTTCTCTTGGTTAGCTATGTCAGCAGCCCCTCTCTACGAGGAGGTGGGGCCTGTGGAATGGCAAAGACCCTTCTCTGCCGCCCCTAAGATTCCTTGTCCTGTTCATTTGCCTTCACACAGGGAGCACCTGCTGGGTGCTGTGATGCGAGACTCCCTGGGTGGGCTCTGGGAGCACTAGGGCTGGAGTGGCCTCTGAAGGATGGATCAACTTCGCCAGGATCAGGTCCCCATGGTCCCTGGCCCTCCTGACCGTGGGAGCGGGGAGTAAAGACTTAAGTGTGCTCCTGGAGTTTGTGGGCCAACTTCAGAGAGTGCCCTGGGCTGAGCCACTGAGGCTCCCCCTGAAGTTCCTGCCCCCTGGCCCAGTTGATTTAGGGCAAGACCCCAGGCTTCCCTGCCTTCTGCCTAGATAGAACCCAACCTCCCACTGGAGAACCTTACCCCCTCTTTCAGGGTGAGGGTCCCGGGGAGGCTCTGATCTGGGAAGCGACCCCGAGCAGCACAGAGAGCAACCCCAGCTGTTGGGGGACAGATGTTGAGGGAGCAGAGAAAAAAGTTAGGTGAGGGAGGTGCCTCAGGCCGGGGACCTCCGGGGGTGCGGAGTGTTTTAACCTCTTAATTGCTGGTTCTGGTTTTTCTTTCTGGCTTCTGAGTTTGGCTAGAAGAAAGGGAACAGAGGGGATAGGCAGGGCTCCCCCCCACAACCTCCCTTGTTTGCCTTATAGAATCTAAGGCCATCAGGGGAGCATCTTTCACTTAAAATAAGTGAACTCTGGTTTGCGTGTTGGCACCCTGACTCACTGGCTTCGGAGTTAGCATTGGCCTTCCCGCTCTGAGCGCCGGCTTCGTGATGGGTACCTCGTCCTAGTGAAGCTCCCGCAGGCTCTTTCGTTGAGGCTCCTTCAACCAACGAATGATTTCTGAGCGCCTGCTGCGCATCCAGGGGACGTGGGCTGGGAAAATGCGCTTCACTTGGTCAAGGGGCACAGCATCCTCCGCACAGCACGGTTACAAGCTTCGGGAGGAGAGAGGGCCAGGCGGTGCGCGGCGCCCACTCTCACTCTTTTCAGCAGTGAAGACATGCAGCATCTTTCCTGCATCTCTCCATCCCCAGAGAGCCTCGGTCCTTTGCGCCTTTGCCAGGAGGCGCAGGACGGAACCCAGAGAGGGGTGCGCCGGAGGCTGTGGGGGGCGGTAGTCGCGCCCCCTAATCCCAGTTGGCGCTCCGATCACAGCGCCCCAACTCCTTTTCTTAAAGTTTCGTTTTCTCCGCCGCCCATTTCGCTGCTTCCGGAATCCGGTGGCTCAGGCCTCACAGCCCGCCTGGGAAGGAGTCTGTCAATTCGTCAGAGCCTCCACCTTCTTTGTGTCGCGGATCCCTACCCTGCATAGAGGACGCGCTTCAAAACGCCCTGCAACGCACCCAAAACTGCGTGATGATCCCATCTTCACCTCCATCCAAGGATCCAACTCGAAAGATTTCGTTAGCTGGGTTTAGCCACAGAGAGCGCGGGGAGATCCCAGGGCTGGGACAGCTGGCATTTGGGGTGACTTGTGTGGGGAGATGAGAAAATTGCTAAGGGCTCACCCGCGGCACCCATCTGGAATCGAGGGGATGGGGATGCTGTGAGCAGCACTATAAGCACAGAACCGCGCGCATTTGGGCTTCCTGGAATGGGAGGATCAAGCGTGTGCGGAGTGTCTCCGACGCGCTCCTGGCAGAGGACAAGAAATCTGGCACAGCCAAGCGCGAGGACCCGGGATGCTACACTGGCATGGTGTACCGGCTGCGGTGCACCGAGACGACAGAGGGGAGGCAAAGTCACTTGGCTCTTCCCGTTCACTGGGGATGCACTCCCTGCCTTCCCGAACCCTCTGCGCCCCAAACCCTGCATGCCAGAGTTTCCAGGATCCAGGTCAGACCAAGCCCCTTGGCTCTTCATCACTCAGGATCCAGATCTTCTCGTCTCCAGTCTGGCTTTTCCCTCGGGTGCCAGGTATCGTTTGCACCTTGAAGAGGACCTCAACCCGGGCCCTACTCTGTGGTCTTGAGCTACGTAGTCACTGGCCCGCTCTGAAGCTCCGATTCCACCAGTGCAAAGTGGGTACCGGAGCTCCCACCTCACGAGGTGTGCATTGAAGACTTTGCACCCCAGGACCCGGGACTGTAGCAAGCCCTCTACCCCACTGTCAGCTAAACCAGGGGTGGCCTGCACCAGGAATAGGCTGGGGTGGGCAAAGCAGATCCTTCTCCCCTCCACTGACTGCAGGATGTGCTGGGCTTTCCCCTGGGGAAAGCAGGGACTCGCCTCTTTTTTTTTGGGGGGGGGGGGTGCGTACATTTGACCAGGCAAAGTCCTGCAGTGGGGTCTGAGCTAACCCTTTCTGGTTTCTGGTCTGAAACAGTAGGATTGGGCTGCTTGGGGCGGGGTGTTTAACCAGAGCCCATTTACTGGGCTGGTTCTCTCATGCACTCACAGCGTTTCTGAATGCTCCTCTGGATGGAAGTGTGCTGGCCCTGGGGACACAGAGGCACATCTTCCTGGTCCTCTCCCAGGAAAGCCTGGGGTGGGAGATCCAAGGAACCAGACGTCTACAAACCGGTGTGACCAATGCGGAGAGGGTGGTGTTGGGGAAGCTGTGGCACTTTTCCTGGAGGGTGAGGGAGTGTGGGAAAAGGGATCGCCCGTGCAAAGGCCGGGGGTGGGAAAATACTTCAGAGGGGGCCATGAAGACCTGGGAATGACCTTCCATTGTGGCTGCGGCTCATACTTGGGTTTGGGGTGGGAGATCTTGAGGAAGGTTATGGAGGAGGAGATGAGCGTGACAGGATGTGGTTTGTTGGGCTTTGTAAATGCCAAGGGTCTTGGGCCAGATCCCAAGGGTAGATTGGAGCCACCAAAAGATCTTAGGCAGGGCAGGCCAGGATTTGGTATGCATGCTGGGAACTTCCTGGTGGCCACCCGGTGGAGGGCAGATTGGCAGAAGTGGGCCTGGGAAAAGGGACGAGAGCTAAGACTGGTGGAGAGGGGTGCATGGTGGTAGCCTGACTTAGTAGGCCTCAGTGACAATGGAGAGGAGGAGATGGGTCCCCGGAGATACTTAGGAAAGGAACCAACAGTGAATTATGGTTGGTTGGATGTGGGGTTGAGGAGAGGGAAGAGTGTGTGAATTAGGTTACTAAGCCTGAGAGGCTGAATGAGTGGTGGCACCAGTTCCTGAGAAAACTGAGGCCTGGAAAGTTCAGAAGGCTCCCTCCCACTTAGGGAGCAAGCATATCCTGGTTCTCAGGGATCAGGCCTTGGGGTGACTTCTGGAACAGACTCTGCTGCTTTCTGAGGGCTCCCAATTTGGGGTGGAGGCAGCTATACCCAAAATGTACTCTAAAAGGGGAGGGAGAAAGGAAAGAGAGAATAAAGAAAGTCTCAGGGCAGGAAGAAGGCATTTGATCTTGGCTTTCTGTGTTTGTGTTTAAGCACTTACTGTTAGAATGGATGGGGCTCCAGAGTCTGTGACTAGCTGGTTACTTAATAGACTGCCTCACACTTAGCAAATAGTAGCAGGCATTGCTGTTGTCATCTAGTTCAGCTCAAGGTAAGAGAAATGAGGAGTCTGAGGGGTTAAACAAGTCTCTAAGAATCATCAAGCCAGTCATGCACATCTGTCTATGCTGCTGAGAAACTCGGAGCTTCCCTACCACTGGGGCACAGTTTATTCATCTCGGGCTCCTACTTTGCTAGCTGTGTGACTGTACAAGTGACTTAACTCTCCGCTCCCCATTTTCCTCACCTGAAAAATGAAGATAAACTGGGATACTCAATATAAAACACTTAGGTTCTTGCTGGGCACGTGGTAAGTGCTCAAAGGTTTGCCTCTTCGTTATTACTGTTATGTGTTTCCCTAACACATGATATATTTTTATTGAGTAGATTGGTGTTATATGCAAATGTAAGTGTTCATTGTAGAAAATTTGGAAAATTCAGGAAAACACCAAGAAGGAAATAAAAATACCCACCAGTTTACTTTCTTAGGCAGATCTTGTCTGCAGGAGGCGGGGGAGAGAGTGGTGGATCCAGGCGTAGGGATATTTGTTAGCGAGTGATAGCTCCGAGGCTAGAAGCCTGGGTACAGGCTGGCTACTGGGTTTAGAGGGAGGAAGGGTGGCCATTCTGAGCCTCGCCATCCCTTTCCCTGCCCCGGTGTCCCACAGCCGATTTGGGACCAAGTGCGCACGCTGTGGCCGGCAGATCTACGCCAGCGACTGGGTGCGGCGGGCCCGCGGCAACGCCTACCATCTGGCCTGCTTCGCCTGCTTCTCGTGCAAGCGCCAGCTGTCCACGGGCGAGGAGTTTGGTCTGGTTGAGGAGAAGGTGCTGTGCCGGATCCACTACGACACCATGATCGAGAATCTCAAGAGGGCCGCAGAGAACGGTACCCAACCCGCCCCGCCCAGCATCTGGCCACACCTCTGCCCTCAGCCCTACCCCGCCCCCCAGCGCCCCAGGAACTGCCCACACACCTCTAGGGACAGGTGCTCCTCCCCTTATCACCCGGGGGCTGTGCCGGGGATCCCAGACTTCTGGCTCCATCACTGGCTTGAGAGTCCGAGGTCACTCACTGCCTGTCCCTGCAACTGTGTTTTCTCATCTGTAAAATGGGGCTTATGATAGGACCTTCTGAAGAGAGGTGAGCTGATGTGTTGCACAGCCAGGAGGCAGTCAATGAACTCTAGAGACGATTCTCATAGTGGGACAGCCTACTCCACTTCTGGACAGCGCTGGTTGGCCTGAGGGCTCGTCCCCTCCAGCTGTCCTGGGGAAATGATCCGACCCTATTCTTCCAACTCCCAAGCCATCAGCTCCAAGCCAGAGAGGTTTGGAGGTGTGGGCTTCATGCTGGATGGTGAAGAGGCAGGGGAGGGGAGTTTCAGGTTTGCCTCTGGCATGCTATTCTGACTTGTGAAGTTTCCTTTCCTCTTTGGGCTTCAGTCTCCCCATCTATGCAAGACAGAGGGTGGACTAGAAAGATATCCCTAAATCTCTCTGGTTCTGATATTATGATTCCCCAAGACACATTGGTGCAGGGACAGGGTCCAGGTCTTTCAGGGATTTGTGATGGCTGAATTACAGGTAGGTTGGGGAGCGAAAAGAGGGAGCTGGGGGGGGGGGCCCTTTCTATAATTCCCTTATCTGGATTTGTGAGAGCTGCTCACTTCTCTGTGATGTGGATTATTCTGTTATCCTTACACCCCTAGGAAGTAGCTGGTGTATCCTCATTTTACAGGTGAGGAAACAGGCAGAGGTTATCTGCAGTATGTGACTGGCCAAAGGTTATAGACTAGCATGTCTGCCTGACTCCAAGCCCAAGTTCTTAATCACCATATCATACCATACCACCCCATTCCCAAGCTCCGAGCCCCTTAACCAGATTTCTCCAAGCAAGGGTGACTGTTGGGATGTGGTTCCCTCTGTGAGTTTAATTTTTCCATGGAAACAACAGGCACACCAATTGTTGTCCTGCTTGCTCTCCTAGGAGATATATAAACACCACAAAATGTCTGTCCCATCCACAGTGTCTCTGGGGAGGGGTGTGGGTTACCCTGCCTCAATTTCCATTCTGGGGACTAGCTAGGGATCCCCAGAGTATTCCTGGCCAGGGTCACACCAGGACCATCACTGAATCCTGCCAGGATTCAGACTAAGTGCATCTGGGGTGCTATGTCCACCTGCAGTGAAGCTAGGCCAGAACCCCTGGAGTCACAGGTCTTCCCATACCATGGCCCATCAGGGACCCCAGGCTCCTTCCACACTTGGACCAAGTAGGACCATTCCTAGTCAGCCTTGCCCGTTAAATTCTTGCTCTCCCTGGCAGGCACCACTTTAGACACCTACCAGGCAGAGGAGCTTGAAAGCTTGGGACCTTGGATCTTCTTTACTGACTAGCCTGCAGTTTTGGCTACTGTTTTACTTTTTAAAACACACACACACAATCATAGAAAATTTAGAAAAGATGGTCAAGCAAAAAGAAAAGAAAATCACTCCAGATGCCACCACCCCTTATGTTTTATTGTATATCTTTCCAGATTTTTTTTTTCTATGACTGTATTTTGGAGAATTTATTTTGTTGTTCCTCAACGGCGTGTGTGTGTTTTTTTTTTTTTCTAATTTAAAAATACAATACATTATGAACAGTAGTGGAACTGCTAGTGATGATAATTTTCTTTTTTGTGCTTGATTGAAATTTCTGAGTTTTTTAAATTTTCTGAGTTTTGGATAAAGAGCAGGCATTACCTTTGTAGTCAGAAAAAATGAGATATTAAAAGTAAAAGGGGAGTATATTTAGTGTGATTGTAAAAGTAATAGAAGTGGAAAGAGAATAGCTACATAGAGTGCAGTTAACAAAATTAAACCTCAGAGAAGTAAGGTGACATATGATTGTAAAAACCTCCACAGTTACAGAAATATTGAAAGTAAAATATCCATAATTGCACTCCTGGGAGGAACCACTCCACACCTTCCAAACTTTCTGCTTCCATACATTTAAAAATTTCATGTCCTCCCGAACCTTTTTGCTTTTATCAAGTTTTACAAAATCAGGACCGCAGGTTTGTAGCCTGATTGCTTTATTATTTTCACCAGCCATTGATTTCTCCAGTTTAGCTTGGGGCGCTGGAGTGAGCCAGCTGTCAGAATACTAGTGTAAGGTCGGAACACGGGGAGGGCTTTCTTCTCTCTGAGCCTCAGTTTCCTCCGCTTTAAAGCTAGGACAATGTTGTCCATCCTCAGGGCTGTGAGATGGAAAATGTCTGATACTAAGCAGACGCTCGGAACTGAAAGCCCTTTGCCCAAGGACTGAGTTCAGAGTCTAGGATCCTGGGGTCCCTGCTCCCAGCCAACTCCGCTACCTGCCCCTTCCTGGGACCAGCTCCCCCCCACCCCCGTCCTTTTCAGGCTGCCGTTAGAAGAGATGCGGACGCGAGGTCAGCCACTTCTGTCGCCCCCAGGGAACGGCCTCACGCTGGAGGGGGCAGTGCCCTCGGAGCAGGACAGCCAGCCCAAGCCGGCCAAGAGAGCGCGGACGTCCTTCACCGCCGAGCAGCTGCAGGTACACAGTACCCGGGGCGCGGGCCGGCCGGGTGTGGGCGGGGAGCCGGTGTGGGCGGGGCTGAGGGTCTCCTAGCAGCACCTCTCCCGGACCCCCGGCCCCCACCCCCAACCCGGGTGGGCGGAGGGGCGGGGCTGTAGATGTGTGGGGCGTGGCCTCCAGACCGGAGCCTCTGATTGGGCCAGGGCCCCGGAGACCTCCGCGTGCCGGTGCCTAACCCTCCCCCCCCCCCCCCCCGCCCCTTCCCGCGCTGCGCAGGTTATGCAGGCGCAGTTCGCGCAGGACAACAACCCCGACGCACAGACGCTGCAGAAGCTGGCAGACCTGACCGGCCTCAGCCGGAGGGTTATCCAGGTGGGGCCGGGGGAGGGCGGGGCCTGGGGGTCTGGGAGTGGGCCCTGCAGCGCTGGCTCAGCAGGGCAGCGGCCCCGGGGCGCGCACACGAGGCCGCTTTCTTCTGGGTCCCCCGGTGGCGCGTCCGAGCCTCGCCCGGGAGGCTGAGGCTGCTGAGGCTGTCGTTCCAGGTGTGGTTTCAAAATTGCCGGGCGCGCCATAAAAAACACACGCCGCAGCACCCCGTGCCGCCCTCCGGGGCGCCGCCGTCCCGCCTCCCCTCTGCCCTTGCCGACGACATCCACTACTCCCCGTTCAGCAGCCCCGAGCGGGCGCGCATGGTCACCCTGCACGGCTACATCGAGAGTAAGTGACGGCGACGCCCGGGCCGCCGGGGCCGCGGGGGAGGAGCGCGCGTGGGCGGCGGGGGGAGGCCACGGAGCTCCATTGGGTGAAGCTATGGGCTTCGCAGTGACTCGGGGTTGGGAGAGGGGCTGTTCCCTGGCTCTGCCTCAGGAGAAGCAAACCTTCAACCATTCAACAAGTCCTTTGCAAGCGCTGCTTCAGTACTGGGACGGGAGGGGGGTGGGGGAGGACTAGGGAAAGAGCAAGATGGATCAAGTCCTTGTTCTGGTGGAGCTTGCATTCTGGTGGACGAGACGACATGGAAGAGTAACCACGTAGATAGATGAGCGTGTGTGTTCATGGCCGCGATTCCTCTAGGAAAGGTGCTGGGTGGGAGTGTGGAGATTCCTATAGGAATGGTGGGGAGGATGAGTGAGACACAAGGCGTGGGAAATAGGAGTGCCCGGTGTCAGAGGACCTGGATGTAGGCAGGTCTACAGCCTGACACAGGCAGCGTGTGGCATTGGGTGCATCTGGGGTTGCAGAAGACCAGTGTGGAGGGAATACTCAGGGCTGCGAGGCCCTGGGTAAATCACCCAACCACCTTAAACCTCAGTTTCCCCATCTGTAAACTGGGACATTAATAATGTGCCTACCTCTTTGTGAAAATCCACTCATATTCCGTAGTTATTTTTAGAGTGCCTTTTGTATCCTGAGCACGAGGATATACCATAGAACATAACAGGCCAAGGCCTGTGGCTCACCTTCCAGGGCGGGACACGGGTGGAAAGACAATACACTAATATGGGAGGAAGGGCAGGCATGGCAGTGGGCACTGAGCACTGTGGGCAGATGGAGGGCAGTCATGTGGAGTGAACTTGGAGCATGAACCTGGAGGAGAGAGGGTGTAGTGATGTGCATTTCTGGGGGATACACACCAACGAATCTGCTGTTGAGCAGCTGCTTATCACACATTTTCCTTCCCTTCAAGGGCATTTCCATTGCTTGTTTCCTCCAAGCTGGGCATGACCAGAAAAACAAAAGTGGCTACAATATACTCACAAACTTAAACCCCTCTTTTCTGTGGCTCTGGTAAAAGGAAGAGGTCGCTGCTATTTACTGAGCCCCTGCCAGGTGCCAGGTGCTAACTATGTTTCTAAACATTAGAGATCACTATCCCTTTATACAGATGAGGAAGCCAAGGGTGGGAACCCGTATTCTTTGACGATGAGTGTGGGCTTTGACATTAGGCTTAAGATCCCACCACTGCCACTTCCTGGCTGTGTGACACTGGGCAGGCTTCTTAGCTTCCCTGAAAACCAGTTTCCTCGTCTGTAAAAGCGAAGAGAATAAGGATACCTATCCCAAATCAGTGTTGTGAGCATTCAGTGAGATCATTGACTTAAGTTTTCAGCCTTTGGTAAGTGCTGGATAAGTATTAGCTGCTCTGTAACAGCTGTGGTGGTTCTGGTTGGCAGAGCTGAGGGTGCAAAGTCCTGCTTACTGCCCCAGCTGCCAGTTGGAAACTGTCTCTTTGTAGTGTTCCGGTTCTGAACCATCTGCTCAAGTAGGAAGAGACGGTTTTCTCTTTTTCTCTTTTACACAATGACTTATGTTCAGGCTGCAAGAGCAGGTAGGAGATCTAGTTCTGAGTTTGCCCTACCAGCTAGCATTTGCTGTGGAGTTAGTAATGGATCTAAGGGATTCCCTTGGGAGGGGACCAGGGCCTCCAGAGTCATGCCAGGACTCTGCCCTCACACACCGTAGACCAAAGATCTGCCTTTGATGTCCAGCTTGGGGCAGGAGCTGTCAAGGGTATTTTGACCTGCTGCCTCTTGCTGCGTGACTGAAGGTCCCCCTTTGCTTTGCAGTTAACTAAATCCATAGGACCCGAGTTTTTTGGACTCTTAGAGCTTATATCTGATTTTAAAAAACAACAACAACAAAAATCTTTGGAACAGGACCCCAGAAAAATGCGCGCGCGCGCGCGCGCACACACACACACACACACACACACACAGTTTTCCAGGTCATCTCAGGCTGTTCTTGGACTCCTAGAACACCCCAGGTTAAGAATTCCCAATCGCATACAACAGACGAGGGAACCTGGCCTCAGAAAGGCAGTGACTTGTCCCTTACATTCCAATTGTAAATCTCTGGACCGGGCTCTTTTATTGTTGTTACCAAAGTGGATGAAGTGCGGGGAGGAGGAAGCCATGGACTTCTCTACTGCCGTGGTAACGAGGCTGAAACATGAGAAATTTGGGTCAGACATTAGGATGGACTTTCCCTCATGGTTTTAGAGGATAGACTAGGGTATGGAGACTTGCTCAACAAATATTTAGAGTACCTGCTGGATGCCATGCCTCATTCTAGGCAATGGAAATCCACAAAAATCAATCTGGAAACAGGAAACAGACAGAAATTCCTGTCCTCACTAGAGCTGGCGTTCTAGTTGGCAGAGATAGGGAGTGTGGGGGTGTGCTGGGATTGGGTTGCAATTATTAACAGGACGGCCAGGGAGAGCGTCATGAAGAAGGTGCCATATGAGTGCAGCGTCCTCTCAGGTGTGCTTGGAAAGCTTCGGTGATACCTGGGAGGGAGATAAGGTACAAGGCACCAAGGGAGGATCCTAATAGATGGGGTACAGCCTTGCATGTAGGAGATGTTCAATATATATTCATTTATTTATCAGTCAGCTGGACAATTACATAGAACTTCATAGGTTATAAAGCCTTTCACATAGACTCTATGTCATAGAGCGTTGCAACCAACCATATTGAAAACTTCCCCAGGGTCAATCAGCTGGTAAGTAGCAGAGGTGAAGGTGGTCCAGGTGGGATCCTGCATGGAGGCTGGGCATGGGCTCCAAGGCGTCCTCTCATCCACAGGTCAGGTACAGTGCGGGCAGGTGCACTGCCGGCTGCCTTACACCGCACCCCCCGTCCACCTCAAAGCCGATATGGATGGGCCGCTCTCCAACCGGGGTGAGAAGGTAAATGGAGCCAGGTTGGGTCTGGTGGGTCAGAGCCATCCTGCGGGGAATGGGTTTCTGGCAGCATCCCTCATCATTGAGCAGGCACCAGGCCCCTCTGCCCAGCAAGCTCTGTGCCACCCAGGCCGTCACTCCAGCAGGGGCCGGCGTGTTCAATGTGCACAGCCCTCCTTGAAGGTCTGCACTGACAGCCGGCTGCCTCTTTTTCAGATTTCTGAACTTTGTTACTTTGCTGAAACTTTGTGGTTCCAGAGAGGGCTCATATGACACACCGCCCTGCCTCCCACCATCTTTGGTTCCTCCTGCTTTCTCCTCTGTATTCCTGTCTGCTGGGAGTGAATATCCCCAGCTTGTGAAGCCCAGGAATAGCAGGCAACAAAGGACCTTGGTCAACTGGCAAGGTCTCCTTTGTGGTCTCCTGGTTTCTGGTTGTCTCCACCCTTAGGACTACATATCCAGAAGAGTGCTTAGACAGCACCCAGTCCAGGGGCTTGAAAGTTTTGTTCACAAGCGCTGGAAAACCTTTGTTAAATCTTTTCCATAATCCATAATGGAGATGAAAGTGAATGGAGCTGCTTTGGGTGAAACGGCACAGGGAGTTCCCCATCGCCCCAACCTCTAAGACACCTCCCACTGAGGCTGAAAGCCGCTGCTTTAAGACATCTACCCCCATTTTTGAACGGGGAAAATCGAGGCTCAGGTAGCTCAAGGTCACAGAGCTTGAATGAAAACCTGTGCGGTTACTCATTCACTTGTTCATTTATTCCCCTGACATTTTCTATATGCTGACTGCGCCCAGGAGCCCTGCGTCAGTTGCCAAGAGCACAGAGATGAGGAAAGCATGGTCCCTGCCCCTGAGAAGGCCATGGTCCCTGCCCCTGACGGGGGAGCACAGGGAGCACCTACTATGTGCTGGGCTTGCTGCTGGGCACCATGGGGGAAGGCACATGGTATGGAGGTACAGATAACCTAGTTGAACAGATAGGTTTATGAGTAACGGGTAGTGCTCAAGACAAAATCCCACAGTACTTGGTGATGGGGGAGCGTGTCCCAGGAAGTTCCCCTGTGGGACTGCCGTACTCACAATAGGAGCTGCTCCTCTGGTCACGGCAGAAACTTACACACATTGTCTGATGCCTCCCAACCCCTCTGTGGGTGGGAGGACGGCATCTGCACGGTAAAGATAAGAAAACAGAGGCCAGAGAGGCGACGACTTGGCCAGGGACGTAACGAGTCTGTCGGACTCCGGAGTCCACCTCGATCAGTAACCACGTCCTTTCACGGAGCACTGTACAGTTTACACGGCGCTCTCTCTGACCTTGGCCCCTGGGAGGATAGTGACATTGACTCCGTTTCACACCTGCAGACACTGGGGCTCAGACAGCAGTACTGGCCCAGGGCCACAGAGAGCGTGGGAAGGGCTGGCATCCATCCTAGGACTGCCTGCCTCAGAGCTGCCCCTCCTGCAGGAGAGCATTCGCCTCGCCAGATCTGGTACGGGACTGCAGAGGCCAGCTGGCACGGCCCCGGTCCTCTGGGAATGTGTGGCTTAGGGCAAGCAGAGGGTAGCTGCAACCCAGGGTGACAGGGCACTTGAGGTGAGGGATGAACATGGCCTTCAAGGACCCAGAAGAGGGAGTGAAAGTTCTAGAGGAGAAGCAGGGGGTGAGGAGAAGGGCATTCCACATTGGGAGCAGAGAACATGCTAGGCACAGAGGCATGCATGGGGGAGTCTGGACTTGAGGGACTAAGGGGTGTTTAGTGTGACCGAGGCCAGGGAAGTGTGTGTGTGTGTGTGTGTGTGTGTGGTAGGGGTAACAGGGGTCACATAATGATGGGCTGGACTGTTGGTGAGGGGCTCGGGCGTTGTCTGGAGAGGGTTAGCCTTGGGAGTACTCAGGGCTGTGCTCAGCTTGGAGAGGAGCCCTGGCCTCTGGTTGCTCAGCTAAGCTTGTGGTTATGTCTGGTTCAGCCTGAAGGACGAGCCAGCCAGGGCTCTGGCAGCTTTGGCTGTAGAAGGTTTCTGGCCCCTGGGTTTGGCTGCTGAGCCAGAGCTCTCTTGCTGGGAGGCGTCCCCAACTTCACATCCAGCAGCTCTGCAGCAAAATGCCCTGCCCCCTTCCTGATCTTTCTCCCTCTCACTGTCAAGCCTTCCTGCCAGCTCCAGGGGGCCTTTCCTGTCCACATCTTGACAAATTCCTGAGGGCTGGTGGGCTGTGGGTGGTCAGTTGGTGCAGAACTGTACGGGCTTTCTCCCAAGTCACTCCAGGCCTGAGCCAGCCTAGCTCTAAGGAGACTTAGTGCCCCCTGGGGCAGGCCCCTGACCCCGCTCGTCGAGAGCATCACTGGCCTGGCCAGGAGAACGGTCCCTGAGCATTCAGGAGGAGCCACCTCTGCCCCTCACCACATCTTCATTTGGCCACAAAAACCAGAGCCACATTTCTTCTAAATCATGGCCCCCCAGTCCCACAATTTCAGAACTGAGCAGGTGCTTAGAAATCAGGGCCGAGCTTCACTGATACGATGGAGAGGCTGAGGCCCACAGAGGGGAGGGGTCTTACCGGAAAGTGTCCTTTAATAAGAGCCCAGAGCCAGGTGTCCCGGAGCCAGAGGAGAGCACTGCCTGAGGCCGTGTGCATGGATGAGGCAATGTGGTGTGAGCTGAGCCAGGCAGGCTCAGAATCCCAGCTCTGCCACCTCTCACTCTGAGACCTGGGCTTCTCTGAGCCTCAGTTCCTGAAGCCGCAAAATGGAGAAAAATAACAGGTCCCACAGCCAAGCTTGTTGCGGAAAGCAAATGCAGTAATGTATGTAAATAACCTAGCTCAGCCCAGCCAGTGTGGTTCAGCGGTTGAGCGTCGACCCAGGAACCAAAAGGTCTTCAGTTCGATTCCCGGTCAGGGCGCATGGCCAGGTTTTGGGCTGGATCCTCAGTTGTGGGATGTGCAGTGGCAGCTGATAGATGATAGATTCTCTCTTATCAGTGTTTCTAAGTCTCTGTCCATCTAACTTCCTCTCTCTAAAAATCAGTAAAAATATTTAATGGGGGGAAAAAAGAACCAAACACAGTGCCTGGTACACAGAAAGTAGACTTAGATGGTGGTTATTGCTATGCTTTTCTCCATCTCCTCCTCACGGTAACCGATTCGGGCAAGTAACCTTCCTGATCAGAAAATGAACAGCCATATGGCTCTACCCACTTGATGTCCCGAGAACAATTAACTGTGGTCCACCTGACCCTTTACGGAGACATCACATTGACCAGACAGCCAGGAATCCTCAACCTGACCTTCAGGGAGCTGGCTGTGTCAGCAGCATGAGAAGTCGCCAGGTGCTTTGGGTGGAAGAGGAGAGGGACAGGGGCAGGCAGTCCCTGATCACTCGCCGTGGGTCAGGTACCTGGCCTGTCTCAGCCACCTGCCTCTCGGCTTTGTGAAGACTAAGTGCGCATGCAGTGCTTGGCCCGTTGTGTGGTGTGTCATAAGCATGATGCCAGCTGCTGTGGTGATCGTGGAGAGGTAGAGGCGGTGTGACATCATGGAGAGAGCCCACTCTGGAGCCAGGCCTGGGCCACCGTGCTGGGTCCGCCTCCTCCTAGCTGTGGGACCTATCCGCGGCTCACTGACTTTCGCCTCTCTGAGCACCAGTGCCCTCCTTCTAAAATGGAGATACCGGTGGGACACCTCCGAGGGGTTGTGATGAGGCTCCACAAATGCAGGTCAGGCGCTTTCCGCAGTGCCGGGTGCCGGGTGCAGCACCCAGCAGACCTTTGCTGCTGTTCTCGTTTCTCACCGAATCCTCCCGATCCTGAGAGAGAGAGAGAGAGAGGTCTTGTCATCCCCATTTTACAGAGGAGGAAACAGGCTCAGAGAGGTGAAGTGAGGTCCACAGCAAGTAAGTACCAGAGCCATAATTTGAACCCAGATCTAGGCCCTGGGCCATCCGCATTCTCTATGCCTTCAAAGGACCTCTGGGGAGCTACTGGAGGGGCAGGCCCCCAGCTCAGCCACCTCCACACCCTCCTTCCGCAGGTCATCCTTTTTCAGTACTGACGCTCCCTGACTTGCGCATCTGTCCACGGGCACCCCACAGCTGTCCCTCAGCCGCTGAGCGCTGCCAGGAATCCACCCACCTCTGCATCCACCCCTCATCTGCCACCCCGCCTGCCACCCGCTGGGCCCGTGGGCCTGGCTGTCCTCCCCTCTCCTGCTGAGAACCGGAACCCGCCCGGAGCACCGCGGAGTCCTGCTCTTGGAAGGCAGAGCTCCCTGAAATTTGGAATCAGGGTGACAACAACAGCCCAGTTTTCCCATGTAGACAGGACTCATCTTCAACGAAGCTGATTACCATAGCAAAAGGCCGGATTGAGTTGTGCAACGCCAACAGCCTTCTAATTTACAGGTTTTCTCTCCTTCCATGTGGGCCTTTACTCACTACTTCCTTGGAACCATCTCTGAATTCTGAAAGCCGAAAACCCCCAGTGTCGTCCACTCTGTTGCTTTTGTCTGAAAAACTCTACAGTGTCTGTGGGATGTCCCCAAAGGAAAGCTTACGTTCTGGTTTTATCATTTCCATCTGTCTGGTTATGTCAAGTTAAAGAGAGAAAAGAGAACACTGACCAACCCTGAGAGGCCCAGAAGGGCAGAGATGGAGGCTTGCCCAGACCAGGGAGTGGGGACAGGCAGGGGCTGGGAGGCACAAAGACACCCATTGGTTTGGAGCTTGAGGAGAAGGATGTGACACATGGGGCTGGGAGAGGAGAGAGAAAACTCGGGGTATAAGTGGGAGACCCTCTTCCTACCTAGTTATCCAGCACATATGTATACAGATGACATCACAGAGATGGTGTATGAACTATGTGATCACATTTCCAAATGTTTGGGCAGGTTAGAATTGGGGGCCCTTTTTGGCCACTCATGGAATCCTAGTAGGAGTGCTGGGGTCACGTCTTTTTTGGGGGGACCTCTCATGGAGGGCTGGGGAACAGAGTCCAGGGAAATGGCAGTCAGAATGTTAACTCTGGACCCATATCTGAATAGAGAGAGGATGCCCTATACCTAGGTGAGCGTGCCAAGCCCGAGATTCCAGCTGGCCCTCTGGGCTTCCCCACCCACTGCCGAGAACAGAGGCTAGACACAGCTGTGCTCCTACCCACCCTGTCCTGCTGCAACTCTTCAACCCCAAACAAAAGGGCTTGGGCTACACAAGACCATAACTTATGTTTTCAGGGGGACACCCATTTGTCTCAAGTTTACCCTGTGATTTTACAAGTACTTGGTGTCCTGATTATTTCCCACTAAAGGCTGCTAGCAAGCCTGGCTTAGTCCACGTCCTCCTTCCCGCCCTGGTGAACCTGGTACTATGTTGCCTTTGGAAGGAGACTCTAGGATGGGGAAAGCAAGCCCCTGGCACCTATGCACCGATTGTCCCTGCTCTTTCCCAGGGCAGACTGTGCTAGTCAGTTACAGTATCCTGTGTTACTGAGTCTGGAGATGGTTTCAGAATTCAGATGTTTGAAGTTGGCACTTAACCATGAATGCCTACACAATATGTCACCCTTTCTCTGAGATCTGGAGGAAGGCAAGGCCTGGGTGCAGCCTGAGAAGGGGACCTGCTTCCTTTCCCTTCTGAAGATCGTTCCGGATGGCTCAGGGCAAAGAGAAGGCGCCGCTCAGAACACGGTTAGCACAGCTGAGCTCAGAACTCATCCGGTGAATGCTGGCCCTGTCCTGGGGGCTGACGGTAACAGGAGCGGAGTGGGCCTGATCCTGGTCTTTGGGAACTTGGATTTTTGCTCCTGAAGCCTCAAAAGCAACCATGTGGTTGATGGCCAGTGGCACCTGACCCAGGGTCACCCAGTTCCCACTCCGCCTGGGGCTCCCCGGGGGTCTGTTCCTTGCGTGGATCATGTGGTCGTAGCATGTTGCAGTTCAGACATGTCTCCACTAGCCTGTTAGAGCAGCCTGGGAATGTACAGGCCATCGAGACTATTTATTTAAATACAGAAGGGGGAAAACATACACATACATGGAAAAAATATTGTAAGCACTTTTTTGTAAAACCAATGTTTGTTTTGTTACATACCTTTCATGTTGTGCTTTGTAAATGTCTTATTTGTGTAATAAATAAAGTTAATGCAAGTAGAAGTGCTGGCACTGAAATCCAGAACATGATGGGATTCCATTTCTTTCCTGTTCTCTTCAAGGCTCAGGCCCCTGGACCCCAGTGCAGTCCCCTTCCTGGAAAATGGGTGCTGTTTCCCGGTTAGTAAACTGATTGTCCTAAAGGCCTGACCACGTGCTTCTTCTCTAATGTAAGCTTTGTAGGAAAGCTGGCTGCTGTCCTCTGTCCCACTCCTGGGCAGGCTCGCTCTGTGGGACTCTGAGAAGAGTTGAGCTGAGCCGACAGTGCCCTGGAGGAGCTCTTGATCTGGCAAATGCTGGGAACAGACAGATCCCACCAACCTGGTGTGAGAGCCAAAGGGATCTAATTGGATGAGGAGTTCACAGAATAGCTGCAAAAGAGGTGTTGGGGGCAGGGGGCAGGGTTAGGGAGGGCGGCACAGAGGAGCCTGTTTGGAAGATGGGGGAGAATTAGATGTGTTGGTATGAAGGGAGCTAGGGCTTGAACTTGGGCACAAGTCCGGGTCTCATGCTGGCCTCGCTGGGTTCCAGAACCACCACGTAATATGTAATCTGGGGAGTGAGAGAATGCCTTTCTGCTGGCTGCCGCCATCATCATCATCATTAGAACAGTTTATTCAAGCCAAAGCTCTGCAGGAGAGGAGAGGCGTGGCCTGTCTGGTGCGGAGGCTTCCCCAGCATTTCCCTCCCATATGCCAGGCGCCATGGCCCTGCGCAGTCGTCTGTAAACCTCAGCTCAGGGTGTACAAGGCCATTGCCCCTGCAGGCCCCCCCACTTACTTTATTAGTTGTTGCACCTCTCATCCCTGACTCCATCTCTGCCTCTTCCCCCTCCACCCATCTATTTGTCAAATGTCAATTTAAATATATATGTGTCTTTGAAAATAGTTTAGTTTTGTGTGTGTGTTTGCATGAATGGATCTAATTTCTGTTTTCAAAACCCAGTTTGGAACTCCCCAGTGGAGCTCCACCTTATCAATCTACTGAGGTGGTGTTGCATCGTAGGAGAGAAGTGACCCCCCCAAAACCCCTCCGTGATGTAGCAGAGTGGGCCCAGGCTTCCCTCTGACTCTTGACTCTGGTTCCCTAGTTTGAGGTCCAGTTTCCTGGCTCCACCAAGTCGTCCTTGACTCCCTCTTGGGCAGCTCCTGGTGAGCCATGGGACAAGGCACAGGAACCTGCAAGATCCAGCACCTCTGAGGAGGGACAGCTGTACAAAGATCCAGAATGCAGGTGGCCCTAGAACATGTCTCTGCTTCCTCTTCTGGCTGTCAGCTGGCATGTGATCTCTGGGGGGTCATTTTGAGGAATAATTACTCAGTGCACAGCTAACACATTATTCTTTAAAGCAAGCACTCATTGAATACCTGCTAAGTTGCCAGCTCCTTGGATTTTTGTTCAATCCACACAGCTACCCTATTGTTTTCAGCATCATTATACCCTTTTCACAGAGAAGTGAAGTGACTTATCCAAAGTTACATGAAACCTGTGGTTGAGCTGGGATTTACATATAGGTGTGCATGATGCTGAAGCTGCATTTGTTCTATAGCACTACGCTGATTCTGTGCTCAAATGGAGCAGCTGCCAGAGGGAGAGAGCCCTCGGGTACTCATTCCTGGGCCTACCCAAAGGTACAGCTTTGAGTCTGGGCACAGCCATCCCATTCTATTGCCCTGTGAGACCAAGACTGGTAAGTCAGGCAACTCAGTATAATAAAAAGAATCCTTGTCTTCAGAAGGACTTGGATTAAAATGCTGTGTGACCTGGGGTAAGTCACTCAGTCTCTCTGAACCTCAGATTTCCTCTCTTGAAGGCTGTATTGAGGAGCAGAGATAATACACACACATACTGCCTGCACACATTAGTTGCTCTGTCAATTACATATATCTATTATTGTAAGGCGATGGTTCTCAAACCTCCACGTGCATAGGGAATATGAGGAAGTGCAAATGGCTAGACCCCATTCCCAGAGATTCGGATTGGCAGGAATATCTCGTCCACAGATTCGCCCAGGTGATTCTGATGCAGGTGAAATGAGGATCCCGTTCCAAGAAATAGTTTAAGTACACTGGAGCCACTCACTGCAGAAAGCCTTTATTCCCGAGTCAAGTTCAGGTTCTTAACTACAGCCTGCCACCATGGCCAGCCGATGCCAGTAGAGCAGAGGGAAGCCTCTGGATGAGGTGGCTGCAGAGCTCACAGCGTGGGCCTGTGACCCACAAACTCGTCCCAGCCCTTCCGACACGTCCGGATAATCCACTCATGCTCATCATCATCTGCAAGGGAAGAGGAAGAGCTGGTCATCACGGGCTCACGGTGCCTTATCCCGGGGGGTGGGCGGGGGTTGGGGAGTTCTTGGGGTGTGGTGAATTCCAGCACCCCGGGGTGGCCTTGGGAAGGAATAGACCTTTCACTATCAGTGGATCCTTCAGTTGCCTGTGAGTGCCTGGCCTTGGGGGAATTGAACACAAAAGGGTTTATAGCTGGGGGATGCTGCTGATGGAGGTAGGAATGACACTGTCTGGCCACTCTAAGCTGGGCAGCCTAACAGGTACTCACAGGGCAGCTCGCTCCGGCATCTGCCCAGTTTGACATCCACAAACAGCACCCCCAGGACGGTCCAGGCCCTGCTGGCAGTACAGGGAGCCAGAGCCTTCCAAGTACCTGTGGTTCCCAGGGGGCTGACACCCTGTTTACTCAGATCCTTCCAGTGGGCATTGGAGAGCATCTGATGTTCGTGAAGGCCCGACGTGTGTTTATCTCTTAACTTAATCCTGTGACCAAATGACTGCAACGACCCCACTGTTCTGCGCATGGACAAACGGGCTCAGAAAAGTCAAGCCACTTGTCCACAGCCAGTGTCAGTGTGCGGAAAGCCCGAACTCCAACCTCAAGCTGTTTGACTACAAGGCCTGACCTGTTCTCTAAACCTGAGAGCGTGCTGAGCGTAACCCATTCTTCAGCCCACAGCCCACCACCGTCCTCTCTCTATTCCAGGCCCCTCTGCAGACTGACTTGATTTTTATTATTCCCCTTATCCCCTCGCCCCCAGAGACTCGAATGGTGGGATATGTGCCCCTAAATATGCCTGCAGCTCTGTACAATATGTACGTTCGTTTTGTGTGTGTATGTGGTTTTAATTTACACAAATGGCATTGTGCTGTGCATTTCATTGTCTTCATTTTTTCACGCAGAGGTACATTTTCAAGATCTGTGCTTGTAGCTACACATACATCTAGCTTGTTGCTTCTTGTGCTTATGCTGCTGCATCGGCTCCGAGTCCTGGTGACCCTGTGAATGAGTGAGGGCCACAGTGCCCTGTCCCAGCAGCCCTGCTCAGCTCCTGTAGATTCACGCCTATGCTGCTTTCAGGGAGCCAGTCCATCTCGTACTGGTCTTCCTCTTTTCCTGCTGTCTTCTGCTTTTCCCAGTAGGATTGTCTTTTCCAAAGAGCCCTGCCTTCTCATGATGTGTCTGACAGGACAGCTTCAGGTTTGTCATTTCTGCCTCCAGCGATGCTTTAGGCTTCATTTGCCCCAGGACCCACTGCTCACCAGCGCTCCCTTACAACACTGATTTCAAATGAATCATTTTTTCCCCCCCTGTCAGTCTTCCTCACTGTCCGTCTTTTGCTTCTGTACATAGTAATTGGGAATGTGAGTGGGTGGATGATCTTAGCCTTGGTCTCTAATGACATATCGTTGCTCTTGGTGATCTTTCTTAATTCCATTGCATGGCTTTTTTTTTTTTTTTTTTTAAGTGCTGCCTAATATCCCACAGTGGGCTTCCATGATGTGTTGCTATCCTCCTCCCAGTGTTGGACATGCAAGTTGCCCCCGGCTCCTGTTACCAGGAATAATGTTGGGACAAGCGTTCTTGGGCACGACCCTTCATGGACACGTGGGAGAATTTCTCTGGGCTACCCTCCATGAGAAGGGTCATCGAATCTTACATGTGCTTCCTTCTCCAAGTTCCCAACTAAACCCTAGTACCACCAAGCTGTCCGCCTGCAGTCCCCCCCTCATCCCCGCTTCCCCCTGTGCCTGGCCCTGGGGACAGAGAGAAGCAGCCCAAACCCCTGCCCTCAAGCAGTTCTCAGGGCTACAGCTCTTGCCTAAGAGAGGGAGGAGAGGACCAGCTATCCTCCTTGAGTGACAAATGGCGGTAGCTGGAGAACCAGGGGACTCCCTGAGAGCAAGACACAAAATTCCTGCCCTCAGAATCAGATCCCCCTGCCCACCGTCCTCTGCTGTGGAAGCGCCATGTCCAAGATTAGGGAGAAGGTGGCATACTGACAGCCTTCTGGGTGCTTTGTGCTTTACAAACACCAGATCTCACTGATTCTGTGACCGCCCAATAGGGCAGGGGAGATGCCCCCCTTTTACAGAGGGGATGAGCCTTGTCCCAGGTCTGCATCCACTGGAATTCAAACCAAGGCTCATCAGCCTCCAAAGCCTGACTTCCCGCTCCAAGGCAGAAGTGACAGTGACGGTGTCCCCACCCCCGCTGTTTCTTCACAGGTGGCCTAAGGAGAAAGGCTGGATGCCCCGCATGCTTGAAAGAATACCCTAAGCAGTTAGGGGGCCTCAGTTTCTCCTGGGGAGGTTGCCTGGGAATCTGAGAGCGGCTGCCAACCCCGGGGTGGGGGTGGTGTGGGGGGAGAGTGGCGGCACACAAGGAGTTAAGCGCTGGTGAAGCCCACTTTTGCCACCACACGGAGCAGCCTGGTTGGTAATTACAGTTCTGAAGTCTCCAGGCTATTCGAATCAGTGCAGCTGCAACCTCTTCAGTGGTAACCCCTGAAACCAGACAAACCGGGCGCTTTGTGCGGAACCAGTCCTCGGCCCCTCCCTGATCGTTACAAATTGACAGCAATGGACTTAACAGCCCTCTTCACTACCCCTTTCACTCTCTACCTGGCGGCACAGCCACCAATTTGAATCGCAGATGCCTCCCCTCCCGGCAGCTGCTCACCAACCCTCCCTCCACAGCCCTGGCCCACAGAGGCTCCAGGCCCTGCCACGCCAGGGTGAGGCATCCCAAGCACATTTCATCAATATTTAAAATGGAATTAAACCTGCCGCTTTGATTAATGCCTCCCAGATCCCGGGAGTTGTGATTACTATTTTGCAAATTGCAATTGTTGGAATATGTTAATATGATTGTCTGAGAACATCTTCACCTTCTCAGATAATTTCTCCTCTTTTGGGCAGGAGCGGGGAGGAGAGGAGAAAAAATGATGGGGAAAAACACCCCACAAACTCTTTAATCAATTGTAAATTATTACCCTGGGCACATTTGCTGGTGGTTCAGAGGGAGGCAGAGGGAGATTTTTGGTTCTGTGCATTTATTTTGAAAAGTTTTGGCTCCCCCGGTCAGCCCAAATATTCTACTATGGGACGCTATCCTGAGGGAATAATCTATTTCGAATCAAGAAAACTGAAATAAGCTGCATTTGTAAAAACAGCTGAGTGATTACTTTGTCATATATTCATTCATTTAACAAATTATTTCCAAATACCAACAATGTGCTAGGCATCGAGTTAAATTGGGGAGCCGGGTGGAGGAGGGGTACACTGAGTCACGTGAGGGGTTATTTAGCAGCAATTGAAAATAGACGGCTATGAAGTTTGTATTGCAACATAGGAGAATGTTTTTTATATGATAAGTGAAAAAGAAAGGTGGGAAGAGGCAAGCCACAAAATTACATAGCATAATCTATGTAAAAACTGCACAAGAGAAAAATTAAAAGTAATAAACCGAATGTGACTAATAGCCAGCTCTGAGCAGTAGGACTAGAAAGATTCTATTTTTGGTAGTTTCAAGTCTCTCATTAAAGTGTTTCAACAATAGGAAAAAATGAAAATAATCATTGGCTTTTTTTTCCTGCCCTCCAACTAAATGCCTTGGTAATGCATTGTAGTAATTGAAATAAAATATCTGTAGGTTCCTCGAAATACCAATAGGGTGCTTGAACTTCGAAACAGTACAAAGACCCAGCAAAAAATGTTGATAACAACGCATAAAACCAGAGACTAGGCAAATCTCCTATGTAGAAGAAGTCCAAGTGATTTACGGGATTGTGCTTCCTTCAAGGAGATGGAACATAACCCCACTGTTTCAGTGTGGGCTGCATAGCGCCCTCCTCCCAAAGAGGACACTCGAGAAAGGGAGTGGCAACCATTACAGTGGAGAAACCTGGCAGGCACACTTCAGCCAGGTGGTCAAGGGCAACACCAACGGTGATCGGTCGTACAGACAGTGTGTGGCCTCGATCCGATGTGATGCAAATGGCGCTTTCTCTCTATAGTCCCAAGGCTTGACTCTGACATTCTTCAAGTTTAGATCTGACTGTATTGGGGGCAGAAATATCTGTCTCCTTCTGCAGCTTTAGGAGTGACCTTGCTGCCACCTGCATATACCCTCCTCCCACCTCCCTCCTAATGGCTCTCACCAATCACTAGGAGAAATGGGCTTCTTACAGAGAAGAAAAGGAACCTGCTGCAAGAGACACCCCAAACCTGACCACGGGCTCCCCTCGGAGAAGCCTTCCCTGGAGAGGCTCTCCACTCCTCTGCCTGGGCTTCAGGGCCCTCCAGACCCTCCTGCTTCTGAGCCTGCCGCCCTCCCCCAACCTCCTCACACTGTAAAATGCAGCCACCTTAAGGTCTGCAGTTGCCCGTGGGTACATGCTCACCAGCGCCTCTGGGCCTTTGTCCATGCTGTTCCTCATTGGGGAACACCCTTCCTTTCAGGGCCTGGCTCAGGTGGAAGGCTGCTTATATCTGGGCCTTGTGTGTATGTAAGTAAAGACAGACCTAAGCGAGAGTGTAACAGTTGCGGTATGTTTTTTTACACATGTCACCTTGACAAGCGAATGCTTTTAACATAAGCAACCAAATGTGATATAAGAGTGTTATTTCAGTATTTCTTTCAAAGAAGTATAAGTCCACATTAGAGGTCGTGTGACCGGGAAAGGCGGTGTGAATTTAGAGTTGCCTGATGAACATGATTTTCTTTTAGTCCTGTCACAATCCAAACTGAAGGACCCTCATGAGTGTGTGTGGCTGGGGCCCTGCCCTCCTGGCTGTCCTCTGCCCCCATGGGTCCTGCTCGGATGTCACCTTCCCTGACCCAGGCCAAGGTCATGCTGTCTAATCACAGTCACCGCCACCAGCCCGGGGCAGCCACATCTGATTCACTTCAGATCTTCAGGCCTCAGCACAGGTCTGGTACTTAAAATGTACCTAATAAATATATGATGAATGTACATAAT